CCCAGGTAGCTTCTTGAGAAAAATAAACTTTTACATGTAATTTTAATTGATTTTCGAATGTAGTCCACCATATATTTAGTTACTAATTCGAATTCTTTAGGTTTAACTATATAAAATTATATAATACAATTTACAAACCAATTTTTTTTCTTAAATCATTTTTCTCATTGCTTCTTGTACATGTACAAGTTTGGATTTGTTTAATTTTAACACATATTTGTTTAATTACAAAAATTTTTGGCTCGCCTTGTGAATTTTTTTAAATCTAGCTGATATTATGAAAAATACGGTATTAAATTTCTTTATTTATAAAGATTTAAAATTTTAAGCTAGCCCACCCAGTAAAAATTTTCTAACTCTGCCATTGTTTGAACTAACAAAATAGTTTACTGTGACCACCAAATTCAAACATAGTATTACTAATTCACTTAGTACGATGGTTAAGATTGAATAAAACTCCACGTAAAACTGTGACAGTCAGCATTAAAAACTCCTCTTGCCATTAGACAATACATATCGCATTGTAGCTAAGTTTTGGCATTGAGTATCAAAATGTAGAGCTCGTTCATCCAATCTTAGTGGCGGCATTAGAATATGCATGCCACTTGTGCCGCCCACAGCTTAAATTCAACATGGTAGCAACTAGCAAAACCAAGTGCTTAAAAGCAAATATTAACTGAATCCGCTTACTGAAAACTAACAAGTTGCACCGCGGAAGCTTCATTTGGTTGGTGGGGGCAGGAGTTATGAAATATTATGTTCTTTGTTGCCATCATGCACAAATTTGGATTATCTGCGGAATTCACTGTCCATATTTCAAGGATTAGAAAATTCGAACTGTTTAAGAGAGAAAAAGAAAGATTTGTATCCTTAATTTGTATTAGGTGGATCTGCGAAATGAGTTAATGGGGACTGTCAGATTCAATTTGAGTGGTATGAATTTTCTGCTCTTTGGACTTCAGGCAGTGAGATTCGAAGAGGATCTCTATCGATCATGCACGGGTCTCCTCTTTATTTCCTAGCCATGTCATCTAATTGTTTGATGATAATATATACATATGTATATATAATCTTATGGATTAGATAGAATATGATGATTCAAGTTGATGATGAAAGGCTACTATATATATATTATATTCCTGATCCACTACCGTACTACTGCCATATTGTAAGATAATTCCCACCCATTTACGTTGATGAAACTTTATGTTAGAAATATCTAATAGTTTAGAAAAATTTAAGTATGACAATCTAATCTGTTAAATTGTTGAGACATTTTGTTCACAAAGTAACAAACATGATGTGTTCTTCTTAAACTCAAAAAGACCTTTAGACGCAGTATACGTGCAACTTTATTTCAGTGCACACAGTTCACCTTTTATGAGAATGACCTGACCAATTCGTTGGTGAAGTTGTCCATACGGAAGATTCTCTTTATTAAAATACCCCTATGATTTTATTGAACATATGTTTCTATCTTGTTCTCATGCATGCATCTTTTATGTGATACACATGATGTGTATGATATGTTGCATGACAAATGAGTCAAGAAAACTAATCGGAATATATTGGATATTTCAAAACTTGGGAAAAGTTCATACACATCGAGACATGCATGCATGTAAGAGAAATAACTTTACCAACAGCAGCTAGCTTTCGTCGGTTTTTTCATGTTTGGTTGATTCGTGCTCCGTCGGCTTTTTCATGTTGTCTCGGTTTTAGCAACAGCAGCTGTATCTTTCGTCGCCGCATTGTGCTCAAGTAATACATGCAGGGGTTGATTTAACCAACTAATCACCAATTAAAACTTGGACAATCTGCGATAGATACGTGGATCACATAATTAAAAACATTCATTTTTCTATTTGTATTTGAGGTTTAAAGTTCAATTATCTTGCATATAAAAATCGGATGAAAACGCATATCTTAGAAGAATGATGTGATAACCATGATACTTATCAATTAGTTCTTTTTATATCAACGACAAAATAATATTTAGTTTGACTCTCTTTGAGTGATAGTTAAAAAAAAATGATGCATGTGGTCAAATAACATAATCTATAGAGTGTTGGGTTTCCATTCATGCATTTCGGGTTCGAAATTTTTTTTTAAAATTATTATAATAGTTTGAAACCCTCATACTTCCTCTTAATAATAATAAATTAAAAAAAAAAGTTAAAAAAATGATTCTAAATATAACATATTTACAGTAAAATAAAACGTAAGTAAATCACAATTGAATGGCAAAAGTATTGTCTGTCGATAACTCATCCTGCAGTTTGTAAGAAATTTTTTCAGTGTGCCGGAAGCATAGTTCATTATATCAAGTGTTATAATACAATTGGTTAGATTTTTTTTTTTTTTTTTAAATTTCCAACCAACTATATTACTACACTTAGTGTACAACTCGTGTTCTCGACATTTTGAAAAATCTAAGCTTGCAGAGGAATAATAAAGCACGCCATGCATAAATGCATGCCCAGTTGCTGAGGCTCATAAAAACAACCCGCCAAACTCAAACCTAAATCAGTCATCACTACCAATTGCAGAGCAACCAACCCTTCTCCTTTAAATTCAAACAGATCTTTTGAAACTAACCCACTCCATGGATATGGACACCCACAAACCTACCCACTACGCTTTGAACGGCAAGATCATGCTCTGCTCAGTCGTCATTCTCTTCGTCGTAGTCTTCACCGTCGCTTGCTTCCACAGCTACGTCCGCTGCTTCTTCCACCGCAGTCGCCACCAACGACATCGTCGCAACCACCGCTCTCTCACCTCCCTCCTCGAGACCACTCTCTCTTCTATTACCAATCCAAAGGCCTTGGACTCCTCTGTTCTTAAAACCCTACCTACCTTTACTTACTCTGCCTCCACCGGCACCAAAAACGCCGTCGTAACACCGCTGGAGTGCGCAGTGTGCTTATCGGAGTTCGAAGACCAAGAGCAAGGCCGTCTACTGCCCAAGTGCGACCATGCCTTCCATATCGACTGTATCGATACTTGGTTTCAGTCGCAGTCCAATTGTCCACTCTGCAGGGCGCCGGTACAACCCGATATTCCGGTTCCGAAGCGAGAGATTTCGCCAGAAATCTCGATAACAGTGAATGAACCCTCCGGTTCGGAGCAAGAGAGGAGTAAGAGTAACATGGGTTTTTCAAGATGCGCGTCGTCGACGAGTATATCGCCGGAGGAATGTGGAAGGAAGCCATTCACGGAGGTGGTGGGGGTATCTGTTCTCGTGGATGAGGTGCCTAATCGTATCTGTTTCGGTTCACCCAAAAACAATTACAGCGAACAAAAAATCATCGGGTTCGGGCACCCAGATTCTGTCGTTAAAGAGGATTTGGAGCATATAGACACATACCAATCTGATCCATTTGGATTTTGTTAGTCCAGTGGGGAATATAATAAATTGGCGCTTTTGTTTTTCATTGGCAGCGTCTTGGTACACACCTTGTGGTTGTATTTGTATTTGTATAATATGTTTGTATAAGTATATACATTAACTCATGTAGTCATGTTCTAAAATATGTTCTCTTAGATATATATTTTTATTTATTTTATTTTAGAAGGTGTCACACAATATTCAATTTTTTTTTTTTGAATGACGTTTTTGTTTATTTTGATGTTTTGTTAGTTTTGTATGAATTGCTTTGATTTTACATGTTAACGATGGACCCATTTAGGCCCACTCAAGGACGTAAGTCCAAAGAAAGTTTTAGGAGCCCAATGCCCCAAGAGTTGATAGAGGGTCGACCCCAGTGGGCTCGGGCCAACCAAGGCAATTGAAGGATTATCCGACCAAGAAGAGCACATGGGTATGCTAACGGTTTTACAACACAAGCCTCCAAGAACCGAAGTACTCGAGTACTACCTGGACTACTCAATGACATGCAGGCAGAGGCTTAAGATGGGACATAAAGGACGTCGGCACAGTGCTTGGCAAGGCAAGGCAAAGTAACCGAGGTCCAAGAAGGACGCTCAGGCCAGGCGGAGTGGGTGAAAAGCTGATAGTTAGTTAGTACGGGTGGTTGGCAAAGTAAATATTCTTTTGATAGGTCTCAAGGGGGTAAGGCCAATATAAAGGGGTAGAGACCTTCATTGTGGGGGTCGGACGAATCAAAGAGAATAAGGTGTATGTATTAAGCCAAGCGTTATTTAATCTAGAAATTAATCTATTGAGACTAACACAGTGGATGTAACTCAGTTTTGAGAGGTAAACTACTTACATCTTTAAGTCCATTTGAATTTAGCCCATCTTATTAGCTCATCTTATGTTATTTAATTAAATTTGTCAACCTTACAATTTTGAGCGTTAATAATACAAGATATTTATCTTATAATGTTTTTGTCATTATTAACAAATGATAATGTTAGTAGACCAATTTTTAGACCAAATTGTAAATTATGTGATGCGTTATTAATATGAAATATGTACGTTAATCAACACTTAAATAATAATCTAATAATCAACAACTACATCATATAGTTTACAAAATATTATTTAAATAGATGGTCTACTTATCATTACCCTATTAACAATTACACTTGATATGTACTTTTGTAAGAGCGTATATCAATTTGTCAGGTGTCAAGTTGTTTTATCTAAGTTTTTCTTCGACTCGCAATCGAACACACTCTAATAACATGTCAAATATTCAGAGAGACGGACCATTGCCCCCTCTTAACCACACTAATAATGTCTCAACTTAACCACCTATTCCAAGGTGTTGAACTTTATGACAAAAAAGTTTTATTTTCTCAATTTCCTAATGTGACGTGGGATTTGTATGACACAAAACGACATAGCCCAAGCATTCCTAGGGCTACAAACCACTAAGGAAATTTGTAAAGCCTGATATCACAACTCAAGCCAAACCTTACAAACCCAATTTCTAAGTAGCCTATATGCAGCACAAGCTACGTAACCATAGAATTGAGTGTTAAATTTGAAAGAACAAAATCTACTTTAAGTCTCAGTCGTTCAAATCAACGTCCAATACGCGTTTAAAAAATTTGTGGAAATGAGTGAAGGTTCCTCATAAATCGCAGCATTGAGAGGCCCTCCTCCAAAAAAGCTGACCACCATTCCAGTTCCTCCTCATATTTATACACTCATTCTCCTCGTTTTCTAATCAGTTAATCCCCTTCCATTGATTTAACAACAAATATAAGAACAAGAACAAGAAAAGAAAAGGAAAATGAAGCCAATTGCAGCAGCATTTTTCTTCCTCTCAACATTATGTGCCGCAAGATTTCTCGTCGTCGCTGGTAACGGTCAAGCTCAAGGTGAAAGTCAAGGCAGCAACACCGCCGCTGCCGCAGGTGAGGTGAACATGAAGCTTCTTGAACAAGCGTGCCAGCATTCACCCCGTAAGGACTTATGCATCGAAACCTTGGAGAAGGACCCGAACAGCAAGGGCGCGGACCTCACCGGCCTCGCCTTCGTTGCCATCCGGCTGGCTGCCGCAATGGCCTCCGACGTGGACGAGCACATGCGGTCGTTGCTCATCCACAACGCTACCACTTTAGACCCCACGATTCAGCAGGCGTTGGCAGACTGCATTGAGCACTACTCCGATGCCAACGAGCAGCTCGACGATTGCGTCGAGGCCATCTCGACGAATAACTTAGAGGAAGTGGAACTGTGGGTCAACGTGGCGATTTCCGACGCTGATTTATGCGACAGCTCGCTCAGGGGAGAGAAATCCGTGATCCAAACCAAGAACGAAGCGTTCCGCCTGTCGTGCAATAATATTTTGTCCATCATCAAGGTCTTGCCTGCCCACAAGTGATTTTCTTGGATCCTCCATTGTACGGATTTAATTAGTAGCTAGTTAAATAGGATCTAATTTTTATGTAATTAATAAATGATAATTACTAAAATGTGCCAACTTTGTGATTGACTAGCTACTTTTCGATAACAATTGTTGGTTTTATACATCAGGCTTGCAATTTTATGAAACGTAGTTGTTTGGGAGATTTGAACTTAACACCTAGTTAATTGCTATTGGATTAAATAATCATGTGCAAAAAACTTAGCTATGTATTACCCTCTATTAGTTTTTGCCAAATGCCAGCCAAACCCAAAGCAATCTCTGCCGTTACAATATGGCATAGCTACATCATCAAGTTGACGTGATTACATTGATCATATAGTTATATAACACGTATGACTACGAATATTTCAATTAGGAGATTTTCAAAGTTCAATTTTTCATGGATTCTCTACCATCTCACAGTTTAAGGTTAATTCTCGTGTTAACATTATAAAATATTTTATCAAAAACATGAGATGACCGAGAGACTAAAGTCCATAAATAGTTCCAATTTTGGAGAGATTTTCAGTGTGACCGTTACACGAGATGGTACACCACGTGTTCCTATATAAATGGTGGGATATGTGTGTTAAAAGGTTAATAACTTAAAAATTAAAAATTTTCACCACTTACATAAAAATACGTAATGTACCATCCGTGTTCCCGTCATAACTAAAAATTTCTCCTAATTTTGAGAGTCTCATCTCTTCAAGTAATGCATCTGTCAGAAATAATTAGAAGAGCCAACCTAATTAATTACATGTTCTTGGTTTTGTGTTTAAGTAAAGATTAATAAAATGTATGAGAGTTCCAAGGTATAACGGAACACATGCATGTGAAAGAACGCGGTTCAAAAGGATTGCTTTTGGTAACTCCTACGTAGTTGTCTTCTATGAGTGGCAATTACATTCATTTCAGATGCGTCATAGCAAAGATAAAGACCATAAACAAAATAGACTACAAGGACGCAATCAATTTTGTTGCTGATGTAACAAGAGAAGTGCTAAGAGACTCTTCCAAATGTTCTATAGATTTTCTGTTACCTCACAATTTGGAATGATATCTCAAAGGTCAGTGCCAAGGGCTCAACGCGGAAGCAATCCGCTGCTCACAGGGACCGTGCGGGCTGACGCTCTTCTCTCTCAGGCAAAGAAATGTGATTTTAACTTTCGCTGGTTCAAGGTAGGCTGCTTAAGCAGAGGTTGTTGTTGTTGTTGGCGTGAGTGAAGGCGTTCCTTCTGGTGGGCATGACGAAGCTAAGCTGGAACTAATTACGAAAGCATAATCGTTTTCAAGGCTAGGGAAGGCTAGGGCATAAAAGGCTAGTAGGGCATAAAAGGCTAACAGCTTTTCCGAGTCAAAAGCGGCTAAAAACACTCAGCCATAAGTTCTTTTAACGTTAACTTTTGTCCCGACATTCTTTGATGAAAAATTAAAAGAGTCCGACAGCCCACATTCTTTCATGAGAAATGCTAAGAGTATCTTCAAATGAGATGTCAAGTTTAAACATAAAATTTACATTTGACAGCTTATGTGGCATTTTGACATCTTTTAAAGTTTTACTCTCCAGCCGATATGTCAAATAAAATCATTATTTTATTATATTACAAAATAAATGATTAAACAAATAAATTTTTTATTAAAGATATTTAATACTTACTAAATCAGGACCGTTCATCAAATGCACCAAAGAGGCATGAATGCACGGGTCAAAACCAACATTCATTATAATAATCATTAAACCAATAAAAAATTAATAAAAAGCATTAACAATTAATTTTGAAGCTGCTGTCAAATTTGACAGCAACTCTTTCGCTGCCAATCCATATCATCGCCACATAGGATTTGACATTTCCGTTGGAGAACATTAGTGTGATCTTTTTTTTTTTTTTAATGTTATAGCTTATGTGGACATTTTGACATCTTATTTGGAGATACTCTAAGATGTCAGAAATGCCACATAGACATATAACAGTAACAAATGACACACCTTTTACTTCAACCGAAATGTCAAAGTTGACATGGACAAAGATATGTCAAAATTAACGTTGCCTTCAAATATAGTTTTTGCTATTTCCAAAGACATTCCACTTATTTTATCTTTAATACTAGAATATTTAAGTATTATTTTTTTTATTTTTAAACCAACAACAACCCAACTTTTATTAGTTTTGTTTAAAAAAAAATAAATGAAGCAATAAATTCTGACATATCGGTTGAATGGAATTATTGACAATATGTTAAATTGCCAAGTCAGCTTTCAAATTGAAATATAATATTTTGAATTTGATTCTTATTTAAAGATGCTCTAAAGGGAAATTTTTTTTTCAATAGTGGGACTCTTCATGAACTCTTTATCACATCACAATTTAATGTTAATTCTATAATGACAACTTACAAAATATTATGCAAAAAATATAAAGTGACAGAGAATACTATTGACCCTAAAAACTACCAAGCCTACGGGCGTGCATGCCGAGTAACTAATGAGATAACTATGTCATTCGGTTGATGCGGGGCGTGCCAACTTATCTGCTGAGCTCGGCCAAGGAGTAAAATTTGTTGATGTTGCGTTGAGCGCGCTGCTGACCTTTTGATCTTGCAACTGTTACCAAGGAAGGAACACGTCTCGGTCTTTCGAGTTCTCGAGCCTGAAGATAAGGCTGCTACTTCTGCGAAGTTCACGAATCGTCAGCGTCAGGTTCGGTCACGGTGATTATATTCGTAAGAGTATAAGCACGTCGAACCAGCTCCAAACTATATAGACACAAGTACTCAAAAGAGATGTATGTCTTGATGGTAAATGTGGTTCGGCCGTCAGAATGCCAAACTTTGAAACTCACTTGTGAGTATCCAATCATAAAATCACTCAGCGTTCAATGTGCCTAATGTAGTAACTTGTAACACCTTACTTCGTCGAGAAGGCTAATAAGATAACCTCTGCCAATAAGGATCCGAAACCCTTCTTGACAGAGACTTGGATAGGTAACCAGTCGGCCTTGACGCAATGTTGTTTATCCAAACTGAAGGTGCTCCTCGGTCGGCTGATTCTCCAGTAACAGTGTTATTTATCCAAACTGAAGATGTTCGCCGGTTGCCTTCACAGTGTTGTTTATCCAAACTGAAGATGTGTTGGCGGAAAAAGAAAATAAAAAATCTCAAGATGTTTGAGAGGTTTGCGCAGGGCAGTTATGTGTTGAATTGGAGGGGCTTTCCTGTTGCCATTGCATCTGTATTTATAGGACTGAAGTACTTGTTTTGCACGGTTAGATAATGTTGCAGAGTTTAATTGCAACTTTAATTCTTGAAGTTCATTCGCGTCAAAAGCCAAGCATATCTTCAAATTGTAGTTCGTGACTTCTAAAAAAAAGCCTATCTAGGCTTCCACATCACACTTGAAACCTAGCCCACCTAGGCTTCTGATCTCATTAAAAAAAAAAAAAAAATGGTTTTATCGAAAATCATATTTTTACACTAAATGTCAATCCTGATACTATTTATTTTATTATTTATTTTATTTTTATTATTAAAACTCAAAGTTGTTAAATCATTTTCATTTTCCTTGAAAAAAAACCTCTATCAGAAGCCTTTTTAAAACCATTCGATCACTTCCATCACCATGCAAAAATGAAACCCTAGCCCACCTTAGGTTTCCTTTGTCATCATTACAAACCTAGCTTTTCTAGGCTTGTCTCATCACCCAAATCCATCACCTTTATTGTGGCATGCATCTGACCCTATCTGAATGCATTTCAAATTCATTTTTAGCTTCCATGTGCCGTCATATATTCCAAATCAACTCGAACTATACTGCTTGCTTAGGATATAATTCATATCATATTTATCTGGTTAAAAAAGATGTTAAAATAATTCATATTAAAAGATAATTATTATGATAAAAACCATAACATTATCCTTTAATAATAACAAAAATTATCTTCATTTTTTCATCTAACAATTGAGAGTTATGCTCACTCAACGATCTTGATTGCATAGACCGATGATATAAATTTAGATCCAAACAAATACGTAAAGTTCTATTTTTAAGAATATCTCTTTAGCATTTCGCTAAAGGTCAGTATGTCAAATAAACCGACGTGGGTGTTCAAAAGAACAAAAACGCGATTTGTCTCAATTTAACTTTTTGGTTTAAAATTTTGACCAAAATTTGAGTCAAATAATTGGAGCTATAAATCGCTTTCTCGACCAAATGTTAGGACTGTCTAATAAGTTGGGCATCTTAGCCTGTAAACTTTTGCCCAACACGAAACAGAGTACTCCTTCGTGTCCATAAAAAACACTAAATTCAATTGCGTGGATGGCTTGGGATGTATGCTTTAGTTATGGAAAACTGTTTGATACTAACAACCAACAAAGGCAAGGGAATCATGGTTGACTTATCACATGATGTACACCTTGCAGTTCCTGCAGCTAGTCAAATATCGAAGCCAACTTAGATCTAGATTTCTTTCTCGATCCGAGAGAGAAAATTTTGTGTATAACGATCCTGCTATCATATGTCGTTACTAATTCATATATTATAATTAAGCACCGATGAAGCTACATCCACGACTAAGATGGGTTGTAGCCTAGGTTCATTTTGTTCGAATTTCTGCTATATTAAGTTATTAGCATATCAGTTAGGCTACTGCAACCTATTGTCACCAAATACAGCCCACCGACTTCCACTGTTATCAATTTGTCATATGTATGTATTGCATCATAAGTAACAAACAATATTTACAACTTGATATATCTATTTTATTTTATGTTATTGCATTTTTTATAATTATCTTTTGAATAAAATTTAGTATTAGTTTTTAGATTTTGATTCAAGTAGAGTTTTGGTATCTAAACTAAAATATGTGAACAGTAGTCTTTAAACTCATCACGCCAACATCATTAAAACTTTCGTTCAAATAAGGAGTTTTCCACCTCCTGTGCCAAAGTCAAGCTGTTGTTCCTCCTTCCTGCTCCCTCTTTTTCTACATATGTGGTGACGGGTTACCAGAGAAGAGGGGTCAACTTCTTTCTTCCTTGCCTTGCTCAATTTTCCTTTTCTGATTGAAAGTAGC